CTTTCTTTCATTCAGTTGCCAACAACTGTCCATCATTTACCATCCACATGGTAAAATATTAATGTTTACAAAAGAAAATACTTACTTTTATTGTACCATAGAACTTGATTTTTAAAATACAGGGCTATAAATTCCTTACTACAAAATGATCTTAGCCAGGTAGTTATAAACCTTCTATTTTTAAGCCAAAAGAAAATCAAATCGCACTTACATATTGGTAGAAATATATGTCTGTGAGTGACCTATTACATATTGATTTGTATTATACATCATGTTAGACATTGTCAATGTCTTGTGGTCAGGAACACACTTGTAGTTGAACAAGTTGTGTTTATTATTCACACACACACCATGAGGCTGTGATCCTAGCTACGTGGGAATCTGAGGCACAAGAATCACTTGAACCTGAGAGGCACACCATGAGGCTTGGGGCACCTCAGTAAGAGGGTGTTAGAATCTGTCATGGATTTGGACTCTGGTTGTGATTTGGGGGAGAGTTCAAGGAAGCAGGGGTTCACTGTATACTGAGTGCTGGCAGAATATGAGGACAATTCTGTGACTAGCTACCTCAATAAATCTTATCTATAGGGAGGGCACTAGAGCATAGCTCAAGCTATAATTGGTAGAGAAGCAACTGTCACTAGTATTAGCTGGGAAGGGGGATGTTTGGTATTTTGTAGATGACACAGTAACCTTATTTTTGTGTGCATTTAGAAAAAAATGTGTGTTTATCTTGTACTGCATCAAGATACCTTGTATTTATTATCCTGTATTTAGCATGGTCTCAGATTGGCCTTGCCTAATGCTGATGTTTTGTGAAACTATGTCCAACAGGAGAGCGCCAAGGCCTACCAGTGAGTGCCAGGCTGGCCCCACAGGTCAAGGGCTGCCCTTCTCTTTCTCAACATCCCTAATATGTTACATATGATTTTAATTGCCAGCACTTGCAATGAACTTGTGATAAAATAGCTGTTTGGAAGGTAATTGTGAATAACTGTCATCAGAAAACATTTAATAATAAATAATTTTAATACACAAGTCTTTTATTAAGAAATTTATATAATTCAACACACCAATTTGAAATAAAAACTTATGACAATAATAAAATATTCTCAAAAATAATGATTTTTTTCTAAGATATTTTCGTGGAGGTTACTTTCTGATAAAATATCAAGAATAGCACAAAAAATTCACATCTACCTTTTACTTGGATTTACCAACTGTTTACATAAAGTGTCTCTTTGGCCCTAAACACTTCAATATGCATTTTCCTAAGAACTAGGACATTTTATTATATAACCACAGCACAGTCACTGAAATAAAGAAATGTAATGCTGATACAAAATGATTTTAAGACAGTCTCCCTCTGTTGATCATGCTGGAGTGCAGTGGTGCCATCTCAGCTCACTGAAACCTCCGCCTCTCAGGTTCAAGTGATTCTTGTGCCTCAGCTTCCCACGTGGCTGGGATCACAGGCGTGTGCCACCATGTCCACCAAATTTTTGTATTTTTAGTAGAGATAGGATTTCGCCATGTGGACCAGGCTGGTCTCCAACTCCTGGCCTCAAGTGATCCACCTGCCTCAGCCTCCCAAAGTGCTGGGATTACAGGTGTGAGCCACCACGCCAGGCCCTATTTTCTAATCTATGGTCCGTATCCAAATTTCATCACTTGTCCTAATAATCTTTTTTTTTCTTTTTTTTTTTTTTTTTTTTTTTTTGAGATGGAGTCTTGCTCTGTGGCCCAGGCTGGAGTGCAGTGGCACGATCTCGGCTCACTGCAACCTCTGCCTCCCAGGTTCAAGCGATTCTCCTGCCACAGCCTCCCAAGTAGCTGGGATTACAGGTGCCCATCACCATGGCTAATTTTTCTATTTTTAATAAAGACGGGGTTTCACCATGTTGGCCAGGCTGGTCTCGAACTCCTGACCTCATGATCCACCTGCCTCAGGCTCCCAAAGTGCTGGGATTACAGGCATGAGTCACCGCGCCTGGTCCCAATAATGTTCTTATAGATGTCATCTTCACCTGGAGCACGATCCAATCCAGGTTTATGCACTGCATTTAGTTATCACATCTTCGTTTTTAAAAAACGTGCAAGTCTCTCAGCCTTTGTGTTGCTTAGCCTTGACATGTTTAAGGAATCCAAGCTGGTTATTTTGTAGAATGTCCCTCACTTTGGGGCTGTCTTATGTTTCCTTATGATTTGATACAGGTTACACACTTGTGGCAGGAATGCATTTTTATGTTATATCTGATTCTTGCCAACAAAGACAACTCAAATATAGTTGTATAAATATAGAGAGAAAATACAGTCCCTAGAGTCATTTATTTGTTACTTCTTTCAACTGCTAATTGTTTATAACTTAAAACTCTAGATCTAGAATATGATATGGTGTATTTCTGTGGTAGCAAATAGAGTAAGAAATCTTTCTTCATTACATGATTATTTCGATGCAGTATTTCCTTACACAATAAACACTCGCATCAAGTTGATTTAGCAGTGTTGAGAGAGAGGAACTTTTACTAATTTCTAACGTAGGCCTACGGTTTACTTTGTGGCAAAGCTGCACTCCAGGTAAACTCCAACTAGGAAGCCCAACAAAGGTACCTGATGTGAAACAAGACTGGGTTTAAGGGATCTAAGTCAATTCAACATATTATTCATGATTTCTGCCACGTAGCAGCTTCTCTAGGTCCTTTTGTTAATAGAGGCCTCCTGAAATCAATGTCTTGGTTATTCTAATTGTGCTGGTATTTCTACCCATTTATTTTCTCCTTATAGACATATTCTAGTTGTAATATACCAAGAAGATCTAGAAATGTGGTATGTTCTTTTTTCTAAAACAAAGCATAACTTATGGCCTTCTAGTGTTGTGGGGGGTGGGAAGAGAGAGAGAAAAAAAAAAAAAAACAGAGAAACTCCACCTAAAAAAACACTACCTACACAGATTCTATGATTAAAAAAAAAAAAAGTTTCTGGGCGCAGTGGCTCATGCCTGTAATCCCAGCACTTTGGGAGGTCAGGGTAGGCAGATCATCTGAGATCAGGAGTTCAAGACCGGCATGGCCAACATGGTGAAACCCCATCTCTATTAAAAATACAAAAATTAGCTGGGTACCGTGGCACGCGCCTGTAATACCAGCTACTTGGGAGGCTTAGGTGGGAGAATTGCTTGAACCCGGGAGACAGAGGCTGCCATGAGCCAAGATTATGCCACAGCACTCCAGCCTGGGTGACTCCGTCTCAAAAGAAAAAAAAAAAAAAAAGTTTCTACATGTCAACAATATATACTTCCCCCAAACATCTAATAATGCAAAATATTTTGGGAAATAGGTTTTAAGCTTCACATTTATGAAATTGTCTTAAACGTTAAGCCCAAAAGCTAATGATGATTTTATATCCACAAGTCATAAGAAAGTAAATTATTTTTTGTTTAAAAGAAAGGAGTGTGTGTAGATGGACACACACAAAAGGAAGAAAGGAGAAAGGTGAGGGGGAATAAATGGATCAATAAAAGAAAACAGCCCCAGAAAGCACAATACTAGTCTTTATAAAAGCTGAACCATGAACTTGAAGAAAAGATGCTCAGGTGAGAAAAATCATTCTTCAAATGCTTTCAGCAGAAGCGGAAAAAAAATTCTAGTTATTGCTATTTCATATGACTCACAGCAACTTAGTTTACACTGTGGAGGACAGTATAGCTCCCTACTTCAATCCTAGATCAAATTCCCACCCAGAAAATGTCTTGAACTTGTCTTCACCCTTCCATTTCTACTGCCAATACTCATAAAGTTCTTAAATTAGTTCTTATTTCAATAGGTTCTAAGAGTATCCTAACTAGTCTGTCTCTAGTGTCTTATCCTTCCAATCTTTTCTCAGACTCGTAATCAAAGTTATCTTTCTTATGTCTATTACCTTGATTGTGTTGATAGTTTTACAGGTACGTGCATATGTCCAAAGTCAGCAATTGTATGTGTAGTTTATTGTATATCAATTATACCTCAATAAAGTTGTTTTCTCAAAAAGCAAAGTTATCCTTCTACAACACATATCCAATCACATCCCTCTCCTACTCAAAAACCTTCAGTTGAAGAAATGTAGTCCCGACTTCTCAGCGTGACATACAAGGTCCTTCCAGCCTCAGCTACCACAGGCCTGCATATTAGAAAAGGCATCGATCATGGAAAATGCCAAGATTTGCATATCGCTGTGCCTTTGTTTAGATTGTTGTCTCTCTGGAATGCCCATTCTAATCTCTTTTCCATCCAACCAAACCCTACTCGTTCTTCAAAGCCCATATCTTCAATATTGTAAAGCTTTTCCCTATTCTTTCCACATACCCTCTATCCATTGATATTAAACCCTTCCTCCTATGCTCCACACTTCCTTCACACCTCAGTAACAGCAATAGGACTGAAGGACAGTTCAATGTAGAGCAAGGCACTTGATAAATGCTCAAAAAATGTTTGTTAAATGAGAGCACTGATTTTAAAATAACTTTTTTGGGGTTGTTTTGTTTTTATGAGACAAGGTCTCACTGCAGTCACCCAGGCTGGAGTGCAGTAGCATGATCTTGGCTCACTGCAACCTCCACCTCCTGGGTTCAAATGATTCTCCCACCTTAGCTTCCCAAGTAGTTGGGACTACAGGCATGACCAACCACATCCAGTTAATTTTTTCTTTTCCTTCCTTCCTTCCTTTCTTCTTTTTTTTTTTTTTTTTTTTTTTTTTTGGTATTTGTTGTAGAAATGGGGTTTTGTCATGTTGCCTAGGCTGGTCTCAAATTCGTGAGCTCAAGCGATCCACCAGCCTCGGTCTTCCAATGTGCTGGGACTACAGGCATGAGCCGCCATACCCAACCCACAGCTAATTTTTAAATTTTTTTGTAGAGGCAGGGTCTCACTATGCTGCCCAGGCTGGTTTTAAATTCCTGGGCTCAAGCAATGCTCCTGCCTTGGACTCTCAAAGGGTTGGAATTACAGGCATGAGCCACTGCGTCCAGCCTGAAACTTTTTATTATGAAAACGTTCAGGCATACATAAGAATAGGCACAATAGTATAATAAATTCCCATGTGATTATCCCCCAGCTTTAACAATTATGAACATTTTACTCTGATCTTGTGTAATCTCCATTGTTTCCCGTCATCACTGTCTGAATATTCTCCTCCATACATTTTCTTTTTTGAACAAATTGCATCTGTCATTTTTCAACCTAGAAAACATATTTTATTAGTTTGATGGGTATTATACCTTTATTTTTATCAAGATTTATTGCGATATATACAAATTATAATGTTGAAATAAAAAACAAGTTCAAACTTGAACTTCTCATTGCTTAATAACAGTAACAACATTACCTTACCTATTACTTATTGAGTGCGTACTATAAATGAGGCATGGCTAGCAACCATCATATATGTTATCTCATCTTTTTAACAACCCTCTAAGGTGGATATCATTAGCTGTATTATAGATTAAAAAAAAAAAAAGTGAGGCTGAGAAAGTTTATTATCCAAGTTATTAAAGGATTATTACTGAGTTCAAATCAGCTTGTCTGTGTTTTCCACTCTACCCAATTACCTCTAAATATCCCTTCCCTCCTATCTACCTACTGAAATCCTCTTATCTATTCTGTCAGCCTAATAAGAAAAACAGAATACATAATAAAAATCAGAAAATGAGGCATCAGGGTCCCTAATTTTAAAATTATAAAATTATATAAAATAACATCAAATGCATCTTGCAGCTTGAAAATAATAAACTGAAAAGTGACTTTCAAAAGGCATATAATAGGAAAAGATTTGTTGCTTCGTAAACAATCAACATTTAAAAATACATGCTGTTTTTCATATAACTTATATGACAAAAAGTGAAGGGGATTTGGGAAACAATTATCTAGGGATCAGTGACCTAAAAGTGTGCTCCCTGGACCAGCAAAATCAGCATCAGCCAGGAACTGCAATTTGAAATGCAAGTAAGTTGACTTATTTGTTATGAGAAAACTAAAAATCTATTTTATTAAGATTATATGCTTTTTTTAATTGCTCGATACTGAACAGCCTAATAAAAGTGTTACATTTTTTATTTGACCTAAATAAACGTGTTAAACATACACATATACCATACTCATAAATACACAGTAAAATAGATATACATAGGAGCAAAAACCAGAAGGAAATATGCAAAAAAGTAATATATATTGATAGTGGGATTTTGTTTTCTTTTCTCTTTTTAACTAATTAAATTGTCTCTAAAACCAAATTCCGTGAACATTTTTATTCCTATTTATACATGGGAGCACAGATTCAGAGATAATTTTCCCAAGGTCAAAGAATGAGTAAGTGCAATGACCAGGGTTTAAAGTAGGAGTTCACGACCAAGTTCAATTTGCTATTACACCATGTGGTCCTTCAGCAAGTCTTATTTTACAATAGAAACACTTAAAATATAAATACGTATTGTGAGGCAATGCAAAAAAACAAATTTTTTAAGAACCCAAATGTGATGTTTAATATCATGTTTAAAGATTACATGTGCAATGGTCATTATATACCAGCTTAGTTAGTTACCAGGTTTTTGGAATGTTGAAAAAATTATGTTCACAAGCTTGAAAAATGTCTCAGCCAATTTCTTGAAAATATGTTACATTGACCATATTTTTATATAATTTTTATCAAACTGGAGGTAAAAGTGAATATTAAAAATGAAAAACTAAGATAGTAGAATTTTATGATATAATAAAAAAGATAACAATGGTTATAGTACATCAGTAAGTTCTAGCACTCCTAAAAGACTTCCAAAAAAAGTCCTTGGTAGGACTAAGGATTGTTGAGTGGACAATGTTAATCATAAAGAAAATGACTTAGAAGATGGAGAGATGTAAGTTTAGTTAATAAAAATAGAATAAAGTCAGTGAAAGCAGGGGAATTATGTAAGTTACTAAGACCTTATTGAAAACCAAAAACAAAATTCAACCAAAAAAAAAAAAAAGACAAAATAAAGAGGAGACTAATGTGGAATGTTTACATTCTTGCTTCTACCAGAATTCTAGCCCAAACGTAGAGCATCAGTTTAACATTCTGGAAAGAATAATCTGAGACTGAACTGAGTGATATAGTTTGGCTGTGTCCTCACCCAAGTCTCATCTTGAATTGTTACTCCCACAATTCCCACGTGTCGTGGGAGGGACCCAGTGGAAGGTAATTGAATCATGGGGGCGGGTCTTTCTCATGCTGTTTTCATGATAGTGATAAGTCTCACGCATTCTGATCGTTTTATAAAGAGGAGTTCCCCTGCACAAGCTCTCTCTCTACCTGCCACCATCCACTGAAGATGTGACTTGCTCCTCCTTGCCTTCTGCCATGATTGTGAGGCCTCCCCAGACATGTGGGACTGTAAGTCCATTAAACCTCTTCTTCCCAGTCTCAGGTATGTCTGTATCAGCAGCATGAAAATGGACTAATACACTAAGTAAATATAAGGTGTCCTGGCTATAGGACCCCCTCATGAGTATAATAAAAATATATGTGTTATTTTAACACAGTTAGGAGGTAGCAAGCTCTCTACCCTGGGTGAAGGTCTGAAGAGGAGTTTGGGCTGAGTTTAGTATAAAAGAAGATCTGCATCTTATACCATATGTAAAAACTACTTCTCTCTATATTAAAGACTTAAGTGTAAAAAAAATTAAAATCATTCAATAAAGTCTTCTAAAAGCAGATAAAAACTTCAAAGCCAAGCCTAGAAACCAAGTAGCTATTTTTTAAATAGACATGTTTAACTATACAAGAATATGAAAAAGAGCTCTTACAAATTGACAATAAAAAAAGAAAAACCACTCCATAAAGTTAGATAGCAGAAGAACAAATTTAAATAGCCAACAAATATATGAAAAGTGTTTAAATTCATTAGCACTCAGGGAAATGCAAGTTAAAGTAAGAATGAAACCTTATTCCTATCAGACCAGCAAAAATTAAGAGAACCTATGAAAATTGTTGCTTGTTTCTGGTGAGAAAGTGAAGGAAAAGTACTTTCATAAGTTGCTAGTGGGAGCATTAAGCATTGTAATCTTTTTGAAAATCACTCTGATAAATCTATTAAAATTTAAAATACCTATAGTCCTCAGCCCAACAATTCTACTCATGGGAATTTATTCCAAAGAAATAAAAGTATGATTATGTTAAAAAAAATATCTAAAACGACCTCAATGTTCTAGTAGCAAAACCCTGAGCATAAAGTGGATGCCACAGGGGAAAGATGAAATGGGATTTGGAGAAATATCCAGAAGATATTGTTGAATGAGAAAGGTAAGATCCAAAAAAAAAAAAAAAAAATGCGTATACATTACCATTTTTCAACAGTGCCAGAAAACACATGTATATGTGTTTATGTGTGTGTATTACATATATGGATACACATACATAAACACATATACATGTGTGTGCCACATTAATGATTTATGACCATGGAGGAAAAGTATGACAGAATTCATATTAAGTTGCTAATATGTATTGTCTTCTTGTGGGGAGGGGGAAAGGGTTTATGAGGAGGAAGAAGGGAGGGGAAGAAATGGTGGAAAAAAAGGAAGGAAAAAAGCTACACTAAAAATCATTACACTCTTTCTAGTAAATCTTACTGCTACCCCTATTTTCTCTTCTGCTGACCAAGGTGGTCCACCACATTGCATAAAAAACATGAAACATACTACACTAAAAATAAGTGCTGCAAAAGCACTAAGCAACTGGAAAAAAAATATACAGGTTAAAGAATAGTTAATTCTTATATGAAAAGAACAAAATTATATGCATTCTTTCCTTTTTTAGCTAGCTAATATAAGAAGTTTCTTATATCAATAAGTATCTTATTGATGGCCAATTCCTAGGTAATAAATGCCATCAATTCATATTAAAACATAAACTGAGTGTTTATTCTGTGTAAGGCACTACTCAAGGTACTGTAGAAAACACAAATCAAGGTCCCCCACTTTCCTTTCTGTTTTAACATGTGGAAGACTGGAAGACTTCCATCCTCACATCTTCCAGTCTGCTCAAAGCACTATAGAAAATTCTAAATGCAAAAAATAGCACCCTCTTTTTCACAAGAATGGGAAATGTCATTCAGTGTAGAGCTCCCATTAGTTACAACTAGTTCTGAAGGTATTCAGCATCTTTCATGTTGTAGCACTGCCTGTGTTCTTCCAGTCAAGCTAAATTGTCCTCAGCTCCTTTGGTGTCTCTCCTTGAAAAGATTTTTCCTGTGTGCTCCTTGAAGCTACCCCATGAAACTTAACCACCCACCTTCCCCTGGCTAAGGGTCTTTTCTCATTCAAAAATCTCCTATACTCTATCCGAGCTTCAGTGAATTCAGTTTCACTTCCTAATGCTATTCAGTTCTGTTACAAGCCTTCCATCAAACATTTAAGAAGAGGAAAAAATAAAGACAAAAACCAATCCCCCAACCCCCAAATCAAACCAAGTGAAACACACTTTTCTTCTTTTTATTGCCCTCTGGGGAGAAACATTACTCACCCTCATGGCTTTAACTGCCAATGACTATATGCCAATGACAACATGTCTAGCTGTGACCCCTCGTTAGGCCCACTTCCAAGTTAGATATCTCCAACTTGATAACCCATGAGTCCCTCATGATTTAATATACTCCAAACCAAACTGATAGTCCCCAAATCTCATCTATCTGTATATCTTAGCTACTTATTTGGCTGCAGAAGTCAGAACCCTGAGTCCTGCTTGATTTATAGTTTTGTTTTGTATTATTGTTTATTATCTGTACAACTATATAGCTTCTTGAAGACTGATTGAGTCTTTGATCTCTGTAACTGGCATGATACTGTATTTGGCGCATAAAAGTTGAACAAGTCAGGCATGGTGGCTCACACCTGCAATCTCAGCACAAGGGCAACAAAGCGAGACCTCCACCTCTATAAATAAATACATAAGTCAGCCAGATGCAGTGGCATGTGCCTGTACTGTAGTCCTAGTTACTCAGGAGGCGGAGGCAGGACGATTACTTGAACCCAGGAGTTTGAGACCAGCCTGGGCAACATAGCGAGGCCTTGTCTCTGCTAAAAATCAAATAAACTAGCCAGGCATAGTGGTGCATATTTGTTGTCCCAGCTACTCGGGAGGCTGAAGCTGGAGGACTGCTCGAGCCCAGGAGATCAGGGCTGCAGGGAGCTGTGATTGTACCAGTGCACTC